TTAGTTTAGTTAGATGAATAGCTGAATTGTTGATCGGTTTTGTCCTAACTTAAACTATCAATTTAAAAAACTTGATATTGTTCGATACATATATAGATACGTTTTTTTTAATATGTTCTTATATTTGTTTGTAGTCACTAAATTACACACATATAATATATAGATAAATAAAGAAAAATGATAAAAATATAATATTAATTTCATAAACAAAATATAGTTTCACAGCTTTTACCTTTTTTATATTTTACATCCAAACAAAATATTCCTATAGTTTCACAAACCACATAGCCATGACATAAAAGTAAAATCAATTTTCAAATCATAAATTATAGTCAAGATTTTCCTGCTTTCTTGGTTTTTTAAATCGAGAAGAGAAAGTCTTCCGGAAACAAATAAAGTGAAGAACGGTAAACAAAAAAATCATTATTCTACCTAACCTATTTAATTAGAACATCTCTTCCTAATCAATTAATTACACAGCATTAATTTCATTCAACGAAGTAATAAATAACAATTAAAAATCACTTTCACCTAAATAAAAAACCAAGAAGCAAAATCCAAAAACATTGGGGCATTCCGAGAATCGAACTCGGGACCTCTCGCACCCAAAGCGAGAATCATACCACTAGACCAAATGCCCTGCTATATTAATTTCTCAATTAAAATTTTAATATCAAAAATAAATGTACCTTTTTAAGAAATTGCAAAGTGAAGTTTGTTTTGAAAGTGGGGGCAGGAATAGATTAATACAAGGTATCACCATAATTGGAGTAGGAGGGTAGATCTCAATAACCACACCACCTACACTTGTACACAACCCATCATGGAACCTTTATGCAAATCTTCAAAGTTTGTCACATTTACTCACATCTCAATGCTTCTTCATTCATGTAAATAAAATATACAAAATCAACACTTTCCCCCACCAAAATATTTAAAGAGATTTACATCCACTTATCTATCTTGGTGCATATGCAATCAATAATCACCTTGGGGTTGAATTGCAAAAGATGCTTCCTTGGTTTGGTCCATCATACATTGACACAAATGAAACGTCATCCATCCTTGTAACTCAAGAAATTATGTGTTACTGTTTCAGAAAAGTTGGTTTCAAGAAGCAAGCCAGCTGGATGTTGAATCATAAGGTGCTGGCAGCTGCAACTTTGAAGCCATGGGTCCCCACAATTACAAAGTGCCTTTCTAATCAAATACACATAACAATGTCATAAGATTTTCTGGTTTCTCGGGAGACCTATTTTAATAACCAGTAACCAGTTAATGCAGTTGTTTAGGACTTAATTACAGACCTTATTTGGTATTTATGATTTGAGGACCAATAAAAACACTTTCTGTCATTAAAAATATTATTTTTATTTGATATTTTTTTATCAAGAAATATCAGAGTGGAATATTAAAAGGATGGTGGTGGATAATTTAAAATTATTGGTAACAGATTGGAAAGTGCTTTGGAGGACTTTGAAGCAAAAGGGCCAATGAATTCTTGCTGGTAGGCTCATGCTGTGCAGCTTTCTCTTACATCAAGTGAATGTCCATGTGCCAAAGTGCGTCGGCTAAATTTGTTAATGATGTTAACAACAATTAGAGAAATGGTGCATAAGGTTTTGGTAACAAACAAAAATCACAGTTATTAGTAAACAGTTGAGTGTACAATCATGTCACGTACATGTTAGACTTAAATGTTTTTCTTAGTTTTTACGCATTTATATTTACAGTTGAAGACAGTGTTGGAACATTAAAATATACGAGAGAAAAGTGTGGTTAGGTGCTTAACATTTGATCAAAATGATTGTCAGTGACATTATAATTGTTTGGAAGTTTGCTTTAGTCTCCGCAATTTTCTGCTTGCTTCTTACCTTTTTTTCCTTGTTTCCTCTTCAATCTTCATTCTTCTGTTCTTCTCCTTGGTGACAAACCAAGACTAATAACACACGCGCAGAGATCATAGCTTGTGTTGGTGAGGTGAGAAGATAAAGAAATAATGGCATTTGCAGGAACAACCCAGAAGTGTATGGCTTGTGACAAAACTGTTTATCTGGTTGACAAGTTGACTGCAGATAACCGAGTGTTCCACAAAGCCTGCTTCAGATGCCACCACTGCAAAGGAACCCTCAAGGTCTCTCTCTCTGCCCCTCTTGACAATTTTCGTTGATTATATAGTGCATGTTTGTTTTCAAAGCAACACAAAAACAACTTATAGTTGCTTTCCAGATCCTTGTTAGTTGATGATCATCAACGTGCTATCAAACATACAGAGTCTAGTTCAGGCTTCTGGTTTTGGATCTGATGTAAATGTAAATGTGCTGGAATGCAAAGTGGCATCAATCTTAGCCTTTCCTTTAACTAAGCACTTTCCTATCAGGAATATTGTATTTCTTTGCCTCAAAACTTGCCAGGATTGCATGATATTATTGTTTTAGAAGACTGACAAATAATATAGGGACCTTTGCTCTTTAGGTGTATTAAGGCCTGATAGCACATTGCAGTTTTCATAAAAGGAAGTTTGTTAGCTCTCAACATCCAATCTCTTCGTGATTTCGGTTGCCACACTAACAAATTAGTGTATCTGCAGCTTAGCAACTACAACTCTTTTGAGGGAGTTCTTTACTGCAGGCCACACTTTGATCAACTGTTCAAAAGAACTGGGAGCCTTGACAAAAGCTTTGAAGGTAACAAGGGATCACGAATCTAATTATTTAATGTCACACTGTGCTTTTCTTCTTAGTTACTCAAACCCCACTTCCTTTTGCTTAACCAGGGACACCAAAAATTGCCAAGCCAGAGAAAAATTTGGAGGAGGTAATAAATCTTAAGTCTAGGTACTTACAATGCACAATAGAAATCAGTTTTTCAGCATTTGTGTAACTTGTTATATGTTTTAATTAGAAACCTGGAGCAGCCAAAGTCTCGAGTATGTTTGGTGGAACAAGGGATAAATGTGCTGGTTGTCAGAAAACAGTGTATCCCACTGAGAAGGTAACACTCAACTATAATGTTTGTCAGCTAACACAAGTTATAAGGCCGCCAAAGCATCTATCGTTGGCACACAATTCACCTTCCTCTTCTAATATAAAATCTTGATGTTGAGTAATGAGTTCAGAACTACTTGTTCTGCTTATGGAATCAATATTTTGATGATGTAGGTTACTGTGAATGGAACACCTTACCATAAGAGCTGTTTCAAATGTTGCCATGGAGGGTGTGTTATCAGTCCTTCAAATTACATAGCACACGAGGGAAAACTCTACTGCAAACACCATCATATCCAATTGATCAAGGAGAAGGGAAATTTAAGTCAACTCGAAGGTGACCATGAGAAGGGTGAAAATAATGGGAAAACCAACGGTGAAGAAGTTGCTGCGGAGGCATGATGAAAGATTCTTGAATCCCAGGACTTTTGTTTTTTCAAGTTCCATATTTGTGCACCATATGTTTCTGCGTCTCTCATCTTTTATCATTACTTGCAGTCCGGGAAGCTCATTACCCGTGACAAATATGGTATTCAATTTTCGTTAGTTGAAGTGTGCGAATCTTTATCATATGTTTTTGGTTGTTGTGAGCGTTTGATTCAGAATGTGATTCAGAAGTACATGTTACTGCACTTCTTGAAACTCTCATGCACTTCCAATTGATATTGATATTATATACAAAAGTTACAATACACAAATTTGGTTTTCTACTATCCATCTACACAGCTTCCTGCCCAATTATTGCACAGAAATGCAACCAACTTCCATTCCCTCTCAAAGGAACAATGAAGAATTCTCCCTCTGAATCCAAGTATGATGATATATGACGGTTGCGAAATAAAATCTTATTTGCGGACTTTTAAGCATTCTCATGAAAAGCCACATTCTTTCAATATAACTGAAACCAAAGAAATGGAAAACAACCAAATGAGTTTCAGTAGTTTAGATAAAAGGTAAGGGGTAATAGGACAAGAGAATAAACCTACATATTTTCTGACTGCATATTAGAGTGTTCTGCTTATATCATTATTTCAGTCTTCATCAAGTAAAATATATTTTAGACATTGCAGTTTAAACTTGCGGGATATCAGCTAAAGAAGCAGAAGTCCTGATATTATTGTAGATATGAAATATTTGAGCAAATAAAACGTAATGCAATAATCTCAGGATTTGTTTAAACTGATGAGGAAAGATGAAATGGAGAAGAACAGAATCAATAGGAATTTGTTGTCAACATTGGGATAAATATGATGTAATGAAATGAAACATTGTGATATCCATAATATTGATATCCCATCCTATTCAATACACTATGTCATAAAGTTTAGGTGTACAGAGTGCAAGAGGGAAAATCAATTAGCAGGAGCTTTTACAGTATCGACAATGAAACCATTATGTACAATAGGTTTCATGTGTACAACCAAATTATCGGAAAGGAATCCAAATCCAAAAGTACCATCCTGGTACTGCCAAATCCTTCCCTCTACACTTTTTGGATTTCCGGTTGGAACACCTAAATCATAATTTGATCTAATGTGAAGAATTCTATTTACCACATTTTCTGATATCCGAACCTCTTGAATCCCATTCATCACTTCATCATCTAACAAAAGGAACTGCTCAAGTATTTCATTGACTGGTTGAAGTGGTCTAACATGAACACGACCAGCGTACAATGATTCTTCTTCAGGAGGAAAGGGAGATTCCAAAAATGTAGCATTTGATACCCAGAAAAATGGGGCATATTTTGGATGATCTCCAATCCGACGACAAGAGATGCCTCCAATATCATCATATCCAACCAAATAAAATGCCAGACTCCTGTCGTTACAAATTCCCTGCAACAACCACAACAAAAGATTAGATGAACCATCATCAACTATATCAAAATCTCTACTCTCATTCACTCTTCATAATCATCATATATCTAAAAAAACCGAAAATTTTAGAGTATATACACGGGTCACTCAACATGCAAGCAACATAGACAAACGACAGCTATTTTATATTCAAATGAACTCAATAGTAGACGCACAAGATCATCCAGTCCAAATCCACACTTGTCAACATTGTCTAATTAAGAGACCACAAAGATCAAATTGACCCATCTCAACATCTAGTTACTTCTCAATTTCCACTACAACAATCAAGTTTCTAAATTGAAGTTGTGTTTTCACCGCAATCCTTGACATTGCGGACAAACGTGGCCATATTTGCGGTCGCAGAGAGCCCCAAAACCGTTGAAATTGCAATTCCGACATCTTGATCATGGCTATTTCGACTATTCATTTCATCATTCAACAGATTGATTATCATGACTCAAAAAACCATCACATCAAATCGTGTACTTTAATCCTAAAACAAGCAAATAATATCAATCATCAAATGACATGAATAATACCAGACTACTGACAATCATGAGAGTAAATAATCACCTTCCAGAGGCCCTGTAAGGGTCTCTCCGGCGTGGGCGAGCAATTCACAATCTTGACAAAATGCTGAGATTCCCACTTCCGTCTGGCGAGCCTCTCCTTCTCCCTGCGGCGCTGTCTCCGGGATCGATCCCCACCGGGACTCCGCCGATTAGCGAAATGCTGGTAAATCTCCGCCTTCAGTTTCTCCGGCGGCGATCCGCTCTCTACAACCTCATCTCCGCAATCATCACTGATAAAACTCTTAAACTGCTTCTCCTCCACTACAAAGTGTGTCTTTCCCATGAAACTAACATCCACAGCAATCAATTCACTCTGAATCCCACGTTCCCCATCGGGCTTTCCATCAGGATCGAGAAAAGTGACGACGTCCCCCTCCTCCGAGAGACTCATCCAGAGAAAAGGCGTTTTGGTGACTCCATAGGCAAGCGATTCGGAAGGGGAAACCCTAGAAGCCGAGATAAACGAAGGACCCCATTCGAAGAAAAGCAACAAAGGGTTCAATCCGCTTCGGCGCCAGAAACCAAGGAAATTCTCCCAGTGGTGGAGGGTATTGTAGAGGTGCCTGTAGGAAATTGTGCCCTTGGCGTTGCCCCATTGCGTGATGCGAGTCTTGGAACCCCACCTGCGCTGGCACATACTGAACCACAGCTTAGAGTCACGGCCGCAGAGAGAACCCAATTGCTTGGAGGTGCAGGCCAGGGTGGCGATTTCCGATGGGGCGAGGAAGGAGAGGATGCACACCTGAATGTCCTCCGGAAAATCGGTGAAAGAGATTTCTTGATTCGCCATTTTCTTGTTTTTCTTCAGAGTAAATAAAATCGAGTTATAAGAGAAGAGTGACGTGGTGGAGAGATATATAAGCTATGGAGTTTGGTAGATTCTTTACCGCTATGGAATCATTCCTTCCACCTCCATGTGTGTTTGGTTAGGGAAACCTCGTGCGTATCGGTGAAACGACAACCACAAGCGTCACGCCTCTAATAACATGCCTGCGTTTCATCCTCTCTTTGTTTTTCTTTTTCTTTCTTTTTAATATTTTAGTTTACATAATTTTGAACATATCAGGATCAAAACAAATTAATAAATATGGACAATACTTTTACGGTATTTTTTTCAAATATTTTAATATTATTTACGTATTATTATATAATTAATTAAAATTATTTCATAATTAATAATAATAATCATAAATATTAATACAAACAAATCAATTTATAAATAATTAAAAATATTATTAAAAAATATTATCAAAATATTATTATCCAATAAATATATGTCAAAATTAAAACTTGTAATGTTTCTACGTATAAGCATCAAGGATTTTAAACAATAGGGAAGATAGGTTATGAAATTCTGAAAATTTTATAATTTTAAAAAAAGAAATTGAAGTTTGACAAGTTTTTGAAAGAATTAAGTCCTGTTAATTTAAAACAATCTTGCCAGGTTTGATTTGAATTTTATAAAAATAAAAAATTTATGTTATATAATAATAGAATGATACATTTAATACAACACACAAAAGTAAAATATTATAAAAAAGTAAAATTTTATATTTAAAAATAAAATAAAAAATAAGAATAGATAGTATTAAATAAATTTAAAAAATTTATTATCATTTCTCGTTTTATTAACTTAAGAGAAATGATATTTCCACGTATAAAGTTTTTATATTTATTTTACATTATCATTTCTTATCTTTCATTCTCTTCTTTAAATACACTTTCTTCTAATATTATTTTATTCTTATAATATATATAAAAAATAAATATAAATATATGGCATTCTACCATTATTCTTATCATAATTAAATTTAAATATATGTAATTATTTTTATCGTGTTATCATATTTCAACTTATTTAATTTTAAATTTTCTTAAAAAATTACATTAATTTTATAACTTTAGTAAATTGCTCTACATTGATGAAAAAAACCCTAAAAGTTAAAAACATTACAAAAAGTAAATAAGTAATTCAAAATTCAATTCTTTGACTTTGAAATTTGCTAATTGTTGAAAAGAAGTTGTGTACAAGTTAACTACTAATAGTTATATGACTAGTCAACAACACTAGTTACATTGAATTTACTTTTCCTTTCTTCTGAACATTAGATTCGTCCAAATTCCAAAACAAGAAATAATATTCATCACTCCATATCATACAGTTAGTTGCATTAATCAACACAGTACCATGAATTGAATTCTGTTGTGTCGAAGCTCATGTATTGCAGTGTGAGGCCAAAGACAAAGAAGAGAGAGACAATGTGAAATGTGAAATGTGAATGAATTCTCAAACATCTCTTACAACAACATCTCTCTCCAATGACCCAGAAGCAGAACCCTTCCTCCTCAACCTTCCTCCATCAAAAGCCTTCACCACCAACCCTTTCACCCTCTCAACACTGGGGTACCCTTTCTTATTCAAAAACTCTGAATAACATTCCAAAAACTCTGCATATGCAGGCACCACAAGCCTCACTGTAGCCTCTCTCATCTGCTCCCTCAAATCAACATCAGGTATACTATACACCCCTCTGGCATGTCTATCACATACCTCGTTCAAACCCTTGAAGAAAGTCTCAACCTTTTCACTCACCACTCTTCCCACACTCCCCTTCCCTTCCTCCCTCACATCCTCACCATCCAAAACCTTCACCAAAGACCCCCATGCTTGCTTCTGATACAAGTAAGCGCATTCCTCCGCCACAGCCTTGTATTCCTCCTTCATACGCTTCTCTCCCAACACCTCCCCAAGCTGCGTGTTCTTTGTTCTCATGTATATGTACCAATAGGTGTTCATCGTGAACACATGCACCAACACCTTGTCCCTACAACACACTCTCTTTGACTCTACGTTCCTCTGAAGCGCCTCCATCACGTTGGAAATCGCATGCTTCAACAAACCCTCGTCCGTTAACGTCTCCTTGCCACTTGTTTCAATACTACTACTACCATCTTTGCCTCTCCACGTTTGTTGTGTTCGGAGAACCTTGATCATGGATGTTTTGTAATTGGCCGCGGTTAGGTATTTGAGGTAGTTGATGGCGTAACGTACGAGCTTCGGAACGGAACCGTCTTGCGGAGGGGGGAGACCGTCGATGTTGCCTTCTATTTGGAGTCCGAATTCCCAGAAGACTTTGCTCGAGGCGTCGATGATGAGCTTCTCCAACTCACGGAACCGCGTGCATATGTCTGCGCCAGGTTCTCCTTCGAAGATTTGTGATATATGGGGTTTGAGTTTTTCTAGGGATTCAAACATGTCCAATAGTTTGAAGAGCTTCTGGGGCTCTTTGCTGCTTCGTGCCACGCCTTCTCCGAAGCGGAAGAACACGGCCATGATCTTGTCGGAGATTTTGATGAAGCATTCTGGCCAAACTAGACCCTCCATGAAATCGCCCAGGACACTCTCGCAGAGTTTCTTTTCTGAAAACAGCACCTTCTTCACTGCGACTTCGAAGTGTTGAATCCAAAGGGTTATGGCTGTTTCTAAGGTTTCCCACTCCATTTCGTCGATTCCTTCTGGGGTGTACGTTCGAAGGTAATCGGGATTTAGCTTCATCAGTGCCTTCGCAGCTCTTCTGTATCTCGCCTGTTCAATCACGTTGAACAAAAAACTTAACATACAACTTTATTTTGTACAATTTCGAGGAAGACAACAAGAAAAGAATAATTTTTAACACGCTCAATTCAAGAACACGGTCATTAATATTATTGTGATGAGACGAAGGTTGAAAACGTACCTTGAGGTATATATCAATGCAAATGTCCATGCAATCATTGGCAGCAAGGGTGGTTGAAATTCTTCTGAGGGCTTCAACCTCCGTCTCCGACCCCAGTTCCCTTTCTTCGCCACCATGCTGGTGCACCAAATCCTTCATGTTCCGGTGCTTCATCCTCAACAGCAGTTCCTCAAACTCATCCTGCACATGGAGCAACGCCTGATCCAACAACCCCTCAAACCTCATCTCATCCACCTCCCTTTCATACAGCACCTTCAGCGTCACCAACGCATCCTTCAGCCTCACGTCCCTGTCCTGATCCGCAGCCTTCGTCCTGCTCACAAACTCCACCACCTCCTGCAGCCTCTGAACCACCGTCTCCACCTCGTCGCATATGTTCTCTATCCCTTCCTTCACTTCTTCCACGCACCCCACGTATTCCACCAGCTTCTCCAACCTCCTATGCTGCGACTTCTCCGACGACAGCTCGGCCGAGAAGGTGACGAGCTTACCCTGAAGAGCCTCCGTGCGCTTGAACGTGTTGAGGAGTTCCACCGCCGGGGAAACCGCTCTGGTGATCCTGGCGTCGAGGGCTTTTCTGGACATGGTTAGGGACTGCAGAGGGAGGATTCTTCTGGAGGCGGTTGAGAGAGATTGCTGGTAGAGAGAAAACCTTTTCTCGGTTTCTTTGATGTCGTGCTGTGCCTCCGATGAGGCTTGGAGGAGGGTTTTGAGGTCGGAGCGTGCCGAGTGGAGTTTGAGAAGTGTTGGGTCCTTGGATGCCATTGTTGCGGGGCATTGGTTGGAGGGTGAAGATGGATGAGTGAATGAATATATGAAGAAGAGTTGGAGGCAGAAGAAGACGAGGTCGACAGGGAAGGCATGAATCGATGCGAACAAGGAGACATATGGCGTTAGATTGTGAGAAACAAAGAACACGACAACTGGGTACCTTAGAATATGCAAAGCCGGTGCCCCTGTTCCCTCTTTGCATCAAACACTATATCACTTTATTTTGTAGGATATGCTGATGATACTCATAATTAATTATTAATTATTAATTATTAATATTATTATTATTCTTCCCGCTGTCATTGATGCTTCTAATGGACCTCATCCTCTCTAATACTATCACTAACTTTTCATTTTCCTCCCATTTTGTTCTTTCTACTTTTTAACCTTTTCACCATTATTATTTTTCTTCTTCCAGTATTCTTGGTGTCTTTTTTCGGGCTTTCATTACAATGTATAACTTTTCTTGACTTTAATTATTAGAGCTTCTTTCTATTGTAAATCTTAAATGATCATTATAAATTATCATGCTTATAAGTTGATTTTATTAGAGCTTTTTGGTAGTGTTATACTTGATTTTATCGAAGAAGAGTATTAGAAAAAACAAACACTTTCTCATACATATATATATATATATATATAT